GGCTTGTGCCAAAAATCTACTTCTTTTTGCAAGTTTAAATGAATCTAATTTTCATTTCTGCTGCTTGTCTAGAAGATTGAAAAAGTTCCCCTGGTTCCTGTCATTAAGCTTTTTTTTTTTTCCAAATGTATAAGTACCCCGAGAGAGTGATTGAATTACTACTTCAACCTTTCCCCAATATTCTAGGCTTATGAGTTCCTAAAAGACTTATATCCCAATGGTTGATTGATGGCCTCTGAGACCATTTTTCTCCTGTCCTTTGAATTTCCTTGAGTAGCTCCTTCCTTCAGGAAGTGTGAGTCACAGAACAGGGCACAGTGGTCTTATTGGTGGTTTTTCAAAGTGATTTGATCTTTTTACTACTGTATCTCTTTTTTTCCTTTTCATGCATGGATCAATATAAGGTTCAAAGTGTCAACTTGACACCGAGATCTTACAAAAAAGCTCTTCTCTTTCCTGCTATGCCATTTTCTGAATTACTGTTTTCTAAGAAAGACAATTTCCCATCCTATGGGTGTAGTTTGTGTGTCTGATTGTAAAAGACACTTTCCTGTATTAAACCATAATTAGTTGGTTGTGATAAGTTTTGATCAGTCAGTTAGATCGGCCTGTGATGGCAGCTGTCCCAAGCACTATCAGCTACCATCACATCTCTGTGCAAAGCCTGGAAATGCCAGTCACTGGAAACCCAGCTGGCAAATGATACATGTCATCATCCATAAGGCTATCAAACAAGATGAGAGCAAGGACAGGCATTTAGTAGGTGCTCCTGAGCATTCCCTCACTTATTCTTTCCATATCCACCTAGATGACAGATTTTAGTATACTTTAAATGAGGTCTACTCCTTCCTGCTTTAAAATCTTGCGTGATTTTAAGTCAAATGAACTTAAAAAATATTTATACATTATTCATGTTGCTGTGATCATTCTAACTTCTGAGCTTGTCAGTGAATGATAACAGGTCTGGGTAACAAGACCTGATATCCAATAAACAAAAAGGTTTGCAGAATTCTACTGTGTCACTTCTAATTCTTTGTTACCTGAGTACAGAGTTGACATTTCTATTATTTTCTGCTGAATTAAAGTTAGGATAATCTATACTAATGTTTATTTCTGTGCACACTTTTAAAATTTTTAGATTTGTTTCTTTATGCATCTGCACATCAGTGTGCTCTATGGCAATTGTTAAGAATGACCAACTGATTTCAACAGAATTTGACACAGAAACAGATGTCTCAAAGATACTAAGTCCGGTGAGGTTTAGGATGCACAGCAGCTAAAGAAGAGCCCAAAGAAATGTTCCCACTTAAAGTATAGTGGACTTAAGTAATTTCATTTTTATGCTTGAATTTCAGACATTTTTATGCCTTCAGGCCTTTTTATTGCAACAGCTAGGGACCAATTAATAACTGAATAAATATGTCCCTGGCAGCTAGCAAATTCACAAAAATGTAACTTTGAGCTAATCCCAGCAGATATTGCTTCTTAGGCATCCAAACCCAAAGTCATGAGAGAGAACTTAGAATAAAGCAGGGAGTGAACAGCACAGTGTGACAACCACGGGATCTGAGAAAAAAAATGGATATATTCTCAGGGCAGTGGTTAAGGCAGGAAATGAGATTTCATTATTTCTGCTGCTTGAAGAATGTATATTAATAGGCACTCTCCTTTTCTGGAACTCATCTACGTCTCCAATATTTTTGTTAAAATGTAATGTTTCAGTGTCAACAGACGTACACAGCAGGGCCCTCCAGGCTGGAACATGAAATAGCTCAGGCTGGACATAGAACACAAAGAGAGCCCTGCAAACAGAACTTGAAGACTTAGATCATGTTTGAAGGATTACTGGACATCCACCTCAAAGTGCAGATAAATGAGTATTAGTTTTACACCAGTGTGACTGTAAATCAGATTCTCTGCAGACACAAAGGGGGGAGTGACAGTCCACTGCATACCTAATATTTATTTGATTTATTGTTTTTTGAACTGACAGCAGAGTAGCAAGCCATTTTTATGACACTGATGATCAAGAAGTTATCAATTCACATCACCTGGACATTTTAACAAAGAGAATAACAGTAATAAAGCATTCAATCTATAACAGTTACCGAAGTAAACAATTTGAGATCAAAATCCAGTATTTTCTCAACATCAGCAGTAGTAGCAACACCTGATAAAAGACCCGAAGAAGTAGTTCTAAACATATTGGTGAATATACTAGACTAATAGAATATCATTACTCTGGTCCACCTTATTAATTTTGATTTGGAAAGGAAACAAGGTAGTGTGTATGCTATTTCCCTTCAGCTCTGGTAGTTGTTTGGATATGCAACTGTGAATGATTCTTCATTCAGCCTGCAGAAAAGTAGCTTATCTCTGCTGCTGCACTTAGATAACTTGTCCCTCTCAGTCAATTATGAACATAACTATTTAACTATTCTTTAGAAAACAAAGCTCACAGAAAGCCCTCTGAGCCTTGCCTTAAACACACTGTCAAGCAGAGTCAAAACCAACACCATGACAAACTAATATCCCATTTTGAGATTTGAAAGGTAATATGAAAATACACTTCAAAGATTTCAGCTTTCCAGTTAGAGAAAAAAAAGTGCCATGATCTAGTTGAGTAAATGATCTTCCACAGAGACATGAAGTAAATAGGTTAGGCAATTTTTTTTTTTTTGTTAATAATTGTAGTTCTTACTAGAGCACATGCAAAATACCTTTTCCCAAAAACTCTGGCACTGGTGGGAAAAAATATTTCACATTAATCAGAAACCCATTCATTGTGCAAGTAGATTGTCTCTATATCTCTACAAGATTTAATGTTAGGATACCAAGATGAATTATATTTTGAGCTTCGATCATTTAATTTGAACTCTTCACACTTCTGGCCTGGTTATACTGAAATAAGTTTCAGATTTTTCTATAGCTATTTTGGGCTGTTTTGAAACAACATATTACAAGCATTGATACTAGCCAAGGAATAAATGTATCACTTTTGCAGAAACATAGCATAGTTAAATTATTAATTTTTTTTTTTCAAATTGTAACCTGATCTGGCAAACAGGAGACAGAAATTTTGTTTTGATTATGTTTAGAACAGGATACGAATACAAAGTTGTTTAGATATTTTCCTTTGTTCTTGAAAAGCAATGTCTAATGAGGGGAAAGAGTGTGATTTCATTTATCTTTCTGAGATACTAAACTCTTTTTTCTCCTCTCACAAAATAACTACCATTAATCATAGATTAAACATCTTGTCCATTTCATTTTCCTTCTACTGTTTCTGACCCCAAAATGATTCAGCATCACCTCCCTCCCAAATGCTGCCTGAGACACCTTCCTTTTCTCTTTGTCACCTCATCTGTAATATTTTCAAACTGTTTTTTTTTTCTCAATGCTCCTTATATTTCTTGCTTTCCTGCAGGTTTCCTGGCTCATATATTTGTTTTCTGTACAGGTGCTCCAGATTCTTAGCCCTCCTCCTCCCTTCCTATGTCCATCTCATCTGGTATCTCCACATCCCTGTACCCATTCCAGCACAGGGACAGGGTGCCCAGGTATCTGCATTTAGATAAAACCTCTTGATGACTGGAGGATTGAGATCAGAGATGTCTGGGTCAGGAATGTGTTGTGGTCCATCATAAAACCAGACAGCTGCCCTCTCATGCTCACTCCTCTTGGCAGCAGCAACCTGTCCTAGCAACTCACTGCTCTGGTTTCCAGCCTGTGTGTAGTCACACACAGGTAGCACCTATTTGCTGTTCTTCAGGCTTTCCCCCAGGCCAGCTCATCTGCTTTTCTTAAGGAGACAGAATTTTTTTTTTTTTTTTTTTAAAGTCCTGGTAACTGTTATTTTTAAATTTGGGGTTTTTTTGTTAAAAGATCCTGCTACAGCAAAGAATTTCATAGGAAACGAATATTCTTCTGAATTTTAAAGCAAGTTTTACTGGTGCTACCTGCCTCATATTTTAATACAAGATGTCATATTGAGGACAAAGGTCTGCTTGTGGGAATAACTATCAAGTCAGCAATGAAATTCACTGCTTCCTAGTTTTTCCAAAGCAGCCTTCATTATCTGGGGCATTTCAATTCACTTTCTTCTGTTCTGACTAGCACTCTTGTTTCCTTAATTATGTTATCAGAATAACCCCTGCCCTGTGCCTCTATACATTTTTATTACTTCTCTTTCTCATAATGAGGTGAGGGAACTCTGAATACAATAGTCAAGTAATCAGGTAAAGTTCTGTAGACTGCAGGAATATATTTGTAAGTATTTGCTGTCACACTGTGTTTCTGTCTGCATTAAAATAATTTATGCTATTCACAGAGTACCTATATCCATAAATTTATAATTTAACATTAAAATAGATAAAGTCATAGGCATGATCTCAACACAGCCTATTCTCAGTTCATAGAGTTCATGAAAAGAGTTCACAAACTGAGTACCTCAGAGGCTTCTGGGAAATGCAAGTAATGTTTGTACAAAAAATTGTGTCTGACAATATTCAGTTAATAAAACACATAATTTCTGTCCCCAGTATAAGATTCCCTCATCTTTATCCATGCTGAAAAGGTGACAAAATTTCCCCTTATAGCTCCATTGTATTCCTCTAAGCTCTTCAAGAGGAGCAAAGTAGCTCCCAGAATGAGCGTGTTCCCGTGAATGGGACATTTAACAATTCTTCATAGATCTAACACCTTTTCTCAAAATATTTTAGTATTCTCTGCAGCTGCATTATTCTTAAAATAGATGATGAAGAATGTTGGTATGACACCCATTTTCCTGAAGCATGAACCAGAGAAAAAGGAGCTGAATGATTTGCCTGAAATATCAATCTACAAAGCGTTTTCAAGAGTAGGAACCCAGAAGTTTTAAAGCAGAGTCTATTATCTGAGGCACAGAGAGCATGGCTCTGGTGGCACCTCAGTACCACTTGGCAGCAGATTCCTTGGCTAAACTTTCACATGGAATTATCTGCCTGCATCAGTGCTGTGTTTACCAGCGGACTCGAGCGCCGCTGCCCATGAGCCAGCACTACAACCTGTGCCTGCACTGCAGATATTGGCTCGTCAGCATTGAGCTGGATCTTCAGAAACTTCTTTCCTGAACGACCAGTTTACCAAAAAGGTATACAACTTTTATATTTTGGAAGCCAGTTGACTTCCACTTAATCTATCAAAAGCAACTGGGCTTTGAAAATAGGTGAAAGCATGAAGGAGAGAATGTTTTTGAATGATGCTTTTTACAGTTGTGGGCAGTGACAGGTATTTATTTCATTCTTTCAAGCACTTGGCTAGCAACTATAATTCAGAATTATCACAACTGCCATTTCGCAAGAGCTATATAAATCAAGCTGTCTTACCAACTTAGAAGCTTTCTACATTCTAAATCAAGAAGGGCTTAGTTTATCTTCTTACAGCTGGAGGTGATGGTTCGTGCCTGTGCTCACCCAGGAGAGTGTTTAACCACTGTGTTTCAAGCATGCTGAGAATGCCTGCTGCGAACACTGGCATGCCTTTGGGTGAGTATGAGAGACGTTTTCCTGGAGTTTTTCCAACCTTAGATGCCATTCACAAGATTGTCATAGTGGTGATATTTTTGTTCAAGATTTCACATTTGTGCACACAAACTTCTAATGGGTTTTGTGCTAATTCACTGGCAATGACTTCTAGGTGAATTAATTCTTCTTATATTAGTTTTGTAGAGGCACAAAATTCCAGTGGCTTTCCTCATCTGAGAGACTTGAGGACTGACCATAAATTCTGTGAGCATAAATTTATGAGCATAAATTCTATGGGTCATTAGCAGTATTTGGTTCACTAAATCCTTATGGACCTTTTTAAAATATTTTACCTCATATACTCAGTACAATTATTCAATCAAACACTTCAACTTGAATTTATCATTTTTGTCCAATGGCACATTTCACATCCACATCTGGAACTTCTGAGCTATACAGGGTATATATTCTGATATTTAAATAGCAATTTACTAGCAGCAATGTCTAAATAAGTATATTTGCCTAAATCAGTTATTTTCTGAAATAATCAAGATTTGCCTCTTGTCTTTAAAAACTTCTTTTGCATTTTAGGAATCAAGCAGCAATTTTAATGGCATATTTGCAAGTAGAATATTAACAAATTTCCCTTACTTTACAAAAGCTATTGTATTCTAGGTATCACCAAGCTAAACTGAATTATTACTGCATGGTAATAATGTCCTCAAAATAGAAGTCTATAATGTGAATGCTTAAACTCATGTAATGAATGCCAATTATTCTATTACTCTGCTCAGTGTATAATTACAGAAACTGGAGAATATTCTGAGCTTACAGTTTCTCTATTGTTGGACTGTTTGGTAAACTTGACTGGCAGCTTCTCTGTTAATTTTTCTTAACCAGAAGGGAATCAAGTCATGCAGCTATTTTGAGTGACAGCCAAAGAATACTGACTAATGAGCAAACACTCCACACTACATTTTAAAAATGCAAACACCATCCAGGAAAAGGAATTGAAGTAGCCAATTTGTATAATAAATGACTTTATAAGGCATGCATGATAACAGAACTGAGGAAAAATGGGATGCTAGTCCAGGTGGGCTCAATGCAGCAGGCATCCACAAGCATGCCTTTACATCTTGAAAGGCAAACACCACATACCTTGGCTAAATTTTCAATTAATTAAATAAGTTGCTAATATAATTAGCTTGCTCATTTTTGCTTTCCCATGATGAAATGAATGAAAAGAACCCTTTGCACTTTTGAAGACAGACACTTACATAATCACACATATTTGCCATGGGTAATGCAGGTCCTTGGCCTTCAGAGTAGGAGGACAGATTGAGGGAGTTTGCCAACACATTATCCTGGCAGAAATTAAAGGAGCTTGAAGGTGGCTGTCATTTGCCTTTGCTGCTAACAGTTTTAAAGGATTATTGATTCAGCTGATAAGCTTTGGAGGAGTGTAGCCACGTCGCCTTCCTCAAGGCCAGAGTCTTTGCACAGGAGGGAACAGCTGCTTGCCTTCCAGGGCATCAGGGGATTGCTGCACACCAGAAAACTCTTCTGCAGTCCCTGGCTGTGAATTAAAGGCTGCTCCGTGGTGGGAGTAATTGCCTGTGTCTGTGAAATAGGTCAGCCTGCCAAGCAATGCAAGGCTCTTTCCTCAGCTGCGAAGTATCAAAGCCTTAGAGATCCACATAAGTTAAATGTTTGTGAGAGAAGACAGTAAGGGAGGGAGCAAAGGTTTAATGTATTGTAAGCAACCAGAAAACACCCGTGAGTCTTTCTGTGAGGAAAAATAAGGCTCACCAGAGCCGCTTTTCAGTAGAGGCACATAGTCACACGGAAGGAAAAGAGTACTGCTGAGGAGCATAAAGAGCTGATTTTTAATACAATTCTCTCTTGTTCTGGCTGTACTCGCCAACATTTCACCTTAGGGTAAAACTTCTTGTTTGTTGACCCCTGGTACAATGAGGTGGAAAGGAAATGCATAACTCAATAGGATCTGAGTCATGTTAAATCCATCAAAAGAAATTTGTGAAATGTCTGGTTTCCAGTTTCAAAAGTAACTTAAGCTTCAGCAGTAATTAAGTGCTTAACACCCCTGATGTCATTGGGCATTAGACATTAAAGGACTTCAGATGAAATCCTATGGGCCAAGATCTCCACATCTAAAAATATCATTGTTGTTAAGTTTGCTGTAAGACGCCTACTACAGCTCAAAATAAACCCTTATGTTGAATCCTTAGTGCCAGCTCCAATTCAGTTACAATTTTGGAAATGTAACCTGAGGAAATATTGACCCAGTCCCTTGCTGAGAACTTCTTCACTGCCTGTCTGGGAAAATTAATTTTCCTAAGACTTGAACTATGTTTTCAGTGGTAGTGCTCTTCTGCTAACTGTTAAAAGCTTTCTATACTGTTTCTAGGGTTTTATGCAGCTAAGATACCTGTGTATCTTTTTTCTTCCTTCCGTCAGTCATGTAGTCACAAGCTTGCTTCTGTGCTGAAGCTCTTACTTAAAAAATAGAACTCAATGAAAAATCCAAGTTAAGGATAAAGCACCATTAGAATGACCTTCCAGGAGGGAAAGTAAACATGGCCAACTTTTCTTCTGAATTAACTTAATACAAATGCTCAGAAGAAGCAGCAGTATAAAAAACTGCTTCAGTAATGTTTGCCCAGCTGAAACATCAAATAGCAAGCCCAGAATATGTTTGAAAATCCTATCCATTATTCTGATGGAAGTGAAATTATTTTTTAACCCTCACAGTTTGTGATTATTTTCTGTAATCTAAATGAACCCTGTGCCATAAGTTTCTTATTTTAAAATTTTTGTTTTATTCAGAAAAAATTTCAATAGATGTTGAAACTACTTGGGGAATTTTCAAGGTTAATTGTCAAATCCTTCATGACATCATGTCAACTTCTCTGTGGTAAATATAGGCTTGTGATCAGCAGACTGTCAACTGTATTTATTTATAAGCCGGTGTTCCTAGAAACACATCTAAGGGCTATACTTAGAGGTTAGGCTACAATACTGCAGTGCTGCAAAAACTGGTCACATATGGAGGCAAACAATTTTGAAAGGTTAACCCTCTTCACTTATGATATGCTCTGACATCCTGTGGATGCCAAATGGCTGAACACAACACAAGAGGAAGAGCTGTGGGTAAATCAGGAAAACAGGCAGTTGCTTATTTGGATGAAAATTTACAGCTTAAACTGGTAGGGTGGAAAATCTGCAGGGTACTGTCGGAAGGTCAGTGATATGGATGTTAACATCAGGAACAGGCTCACAACTGACTTAGTCCTCAGTGAGTTTTATGCCTGAGATCATGAATATTTATTCTAAGTAGTCAATTATTTATATTAGATAGCATGCAAGTACATTTATTATAAACATGTTTTAAGTACAGTATTAGTTGAAAAAGGCAAGGCACCTAGTCACTCTAGACAAGCCTGCAAAAATTCTCAAAAAGATTTGCAAGGTCTAATTTTGTGCAGACTTAAAATAAACATGTCTCACACTCATCTGTTCTGAGACAATCTCCTAAGCAAATATGAGATGAGTGTCAGTAAATTCAGTTTGGTATGTACTCGTCTTCCAGCTAGTAGAGCCTACACTGTCAAAAAACTCTCTCATTTAAAGTTCCCTCAGTATTTATGACTGAGCCTTAAACATCTATATTCTCATTTTATAAATTAAAAATGGAGAGACTTCTTTAAGAAACGTGGCTTAAGCGTCTTTTTTAATGTTCGGCAGTGATGAACCATTAGTTTATCTTTCTCTCCATGCAGCCAGGTTAGGTATTTTTAGAAACCAAATGCAATCTGGCTCAAGTCTTTGTCCTTGGTAAAAGATATCTAGGTAAATTTTAATGGCTGGGGATATACAGATAGTTGGCCCTTAAATCCTGTGAAACTCCAACTGTCCCCACCAGCGCAATGGCCTCCAGGAGAAGTTGCAAGATTAATCCATTTCCCCATGTCTCCTCCCATAGAGCTGTGTAGAAAAGCTCCTTCCTTTTCTACAGGGTTCTGTGTTCTCTTGCTAAGAAGAACAGATAATTCTGCGGTCAAGAATATTTTGCAGAAAGCATCACTCTTTTTGTCTTAAGCCCATCAATAATCTGCAAATACATACAGATATCTGCTGTGATATTTCAGAAGCATATTGCATGGAGACAAAGATAAAAAAATGAAATTAACAAAAACCCCTGACCCGGTATAGAGGGTAAAACTTATACCAGCCACATGTAGTCCAAGATAAAAATACACCACTTTGTTAATATCCAGTGAATTAAAGAGAAGTGGTAGGCCATTGTTTATATATCCTTATTCTTACCAGGTAGAATTTTCCTCTTCCTACATTAGCAGCCTTGTTCAGGGTTATTGTAAGGACCCCTGGAACTGTTCTTAATAACACTTAATATGTTTGACAATATGCAGTGTTCTTTTTCACAGAAATGTGTTGTGATGATCACAGAAGTACAATTCAGAGAAGCAAACAACATGTCCATATAACTCTGCAAAACCAGATTGTTCAACTTGATTGATACATAAAAATGTAATAGCAATAGCATCTGATCACTGAAGATATAAATTTTAAAAATTCACCAAAAATTAAGGAAAATTCTTTCACCCAAGTTAAAATCTACACGCTTCTTTTCCTTGTAGAGTGTTTTTATAACAGTCTAAAAATAAGAAAGGTCTTGGCAGAAAAAAAGCCTTGAAAGAAAAAATCGCCCTTAAGCATTGCTAAAAAAAGAAAGTTAGTTCAAAAGAAAAATGTTCTGCCTTGTGCAGGCTAAAACAGAACCAGAAAATTCCATACTGGCCAAGGTAGGCTTACCAGTAAAGCTGAGTCATCTCCAGTACCTTCTTTCCAGACCAGCTGGTAAAATGTGTGGTTCTGTGTTGCAGGGTATGGTTGAGACTGTACATCATTTGCACAGCTCTGCAGCACCATTTCCTGGTGTGAGCATGTCCCCCCATGCTCCACCTATTCTTTCTGGCAGGCTGTGCTGGTTTTGGCTGAGGAAGGATTAAATTTCTTCCCAGGGGCTGTGTTTTGGATTTGTGCTGGACACAGTGATGATAATACAGAGGTGGCTTGGCTTGCACAGAGCCAGGGCCTTTCCTGCCTTTTGTGTTGCCACGCTGGTGAGGAGGCTGGAGATGCCTGGGAGGAGGCACAGCCAGGAGAGGTGACCCCAACTGACCAAAGGGATATTCCAGACCATGTGGCAGCATGTTCAGTGCAGAAAGGAAGGGAAAAAGCAGGATGGGGGGATGTTTGGAATGATGGTGTTTGTCTTCCCAAGTTGCTGTGATGAAGCCCTGGTCTCCTGTGATGGCTGAACACCTGCCTGCCCATTGGAAGAACTGAATTAATTCCTTATTTTGATTTACTTTTGTGTATAGCTTTTGCTTTCATTATTAATCTGCCTTTATTTCAACCCAGCTTTTGAGTGTCAGTTGAATGACTTTGATGTAATAATGCATCTTCTTTTGTTCTCCAGAGAAGAGGAGCTGCCACTAGGACAGAGACTGCAGAGCTGAATCAGGCCCCACATGTGATTGACTCATCCCTGGTGGACAAAAGCCAATATTACGTTTTTCCTGCTGCACAATAGGCTGTTCCAGTCAGAAAGATGAAGGAGAAAGATGACACAGCTTTCCAGAAACTCCCTAAAGATGATACCAAAAGGTCTGCCTGTACAATACTTTCTATTTATTTGCCAGTCTTCATTTTCATACACTGTAAAGAGCAGTGCCATAGCTGATAGACTGGTCTCCATTCAATAACTACCACTAAAAACCTGACAACACATTGACACAACAAAGATATTTCATGATGCTCAACACCATTTATTCAGAATTTCTGCAAACACAGACACACATCACTTTCTTCATCTGGAGTTGCTTCAATTTACTTAATAACTAGGGGAATTAGGAACTTTAGATATAACTAAACTGAGATTCTGGAGGACAAAATACCAACACCAAACAAAACCAAGTTACCTTTGAACTCATCTGAACTGAGCTTATAGCAGAAACAACAGAAGCTTTCATGTGAGATTATTCGTACTTTAGTCTCAGTTTCTGAGACTGCACAATTATCACAGCACACACCAATATGTCAGGTCCATCCTGTTAAAGAGGGAAGAAACTGGAAGATAATGAGGATGATTAAAGTCAGAAGATTTGCATATACGTCTTATAGACACAGGAAATAACATGACAAAATGGAAGCCTCCAATATATCAGCTACTCAGTATCTCTGTTTATAAACCAATGAAGTTTGAGACATAAGGCCTGCTGATGTAGTTTGTAGGAAGAATCAAAGGAGTTAAGAAAACAGTTAAAAACCCCATAAAATTTCAACATGTACCTTTGCAGTGGCTTTGCATAGTAAGAAAAAGAAGCTGTTAAACCTGAACTTCTTTCATTATTAGATTATTTTTTTTTCCTGGTTTCCACCAGAAAATAACAATGGAGAACTGACATTTCCTTTTAAGAGGCGCAATTATATTGAATTGATGGTGAAATCAACAGGATGTGTACAGGACCTACTGCCCTCAAAGTCCCTAAATGCTGCTTACTTGGGCCATAGTAATAGGTTTGGCAATTAGGCATTTCTAAAAAAAAAACTTGTCAGGATATTGTATTCTGAACCGCATTTCAATTAGCTTTGGCAAGTACTAGTGATAGGTACTTTAGCATGAGGGTCCATGGAACAAGTTGTTCTTTTCCAGTAGCAGTTCCATGCTATTTCCTATACAAATAATAGAAATATAGAAATTTCCCCACTGGTTAACAGAGGGGCTATGTACGTATATGTCAATCTGTCACTGTTTTCTTGGCAAGGATGGCCAGCTTCTCCAGAACTTCATCACAAGAGACATTCTGTAATGAGAGCAATGCGCACTGTAGTATAGAGCACCAGTTGAAAATACATGCAGAAAAAAAGACATATTCAATATCTTGTACTGTTACAGCACATAGCAATGAATGCTGAGAAAACACCTTATCTCAGTAAGCCTTGGCTGCAACTTATGGGGAAAAAAAATGAAGGAACCTTCTACCTGGAAAAACCTGTGTTATTGGAAATAATACAGCTCTATTGTATGGAGTCTGAAGGGTTTGCTATTTGAATAGACTACAACGCTCACCTTAGTTATAGCAGCACCTTGCTCAGCACATTAATTTTCATCTTATAAAAAAATAGATTTTGTCAACTGGGTAAATGGCGCATTTCTGATCAATTTGCACTGCCTGAATGATGTTATAAATGTTATAAATGGTGGAAGTTCTCTCCTTTATGGTGACCAAGTGGGGCAAGAGGAGCCTTTGCACTAGTGGAGCTTTAGATTTTTTATCAGACATTTTTTATCCTGACCCATTTCAATATAATTCCACTAAAGATATCTTGTATAAAGTCTAGCTTTTCTGCTTCCCTTGATGGCCAGGCCAACTCTGATTCATGGGTCATAAATACATCTTTCACCTAACTGATAGAACATGCTTCTATCAAAAACATACATAGGATACATTGCTTTGTTGTGAAGAATTACTAATTATTATATTATTTAGATTCTTAGCACAAGTAAGTTTCTGTCCCATGGTCTGGGTATTTTCATGTCATTTAATCTCATAATCAGTCTAGTGTCTCCCCCAGCCAACAGTAAACGCTGTGACAAATAAATAAATCCTAGTCACTATGCCTAGATCCCTCTATACGAAACTTGTGCAAAGGTGAGTTTTCCAGAGAGTTTATAAGACAACACAGACCTTATTCACCTAGGACATTCAGCCTAGAGCTCAGAAGGTCATAATGAAGGGCATTTTGCCAAATGCACAAACCTGTACCAATGGAGTTGCAGTACTTCAGCAATACCAGTTGCAACAGTAAAAAATGGGTTGTACCAAATGACTCAACTTCAAGTGATAACAGCTGTTATTTTGGCATATTACTTGAAAGACAGAACATGGAGAAGTCTTGCTTCCTGAGCTATTTTGGTATCTGAGCCTGCTATGTGGTGAGAGACTGAACTCTGCAATGACGATGTGAGATTAGACACTGTGCTTAAATGCCCTAAAAGCGCAAGGAAATGCAGTTGGTTATAGGAAGCCAAAGCAGAAGAATACTGTATATACCTGTGATGCAAATTGTGCTTGTTTGCTAATGTCAGTAAGATAATTTGCTATCTCTATGAGCTTTTCTCCATTTATCACCTTTCAGTCTGGATGGATTTATGCATGCCTCTTACAGAACACCACACAACTATGAGCACATCACATCTACTTGTAATCCATACTAAAAAGACCTCATGTCAGGAGAGCAGCTACCCTTAGGAACTCAGGTTCTGCCAGAGGACAAAAGAGGAAAAATGTAAGGACCATGCCACCCATCTTGTTAGACCTCCACTGCCTTTCACAGGAAGAGTTCATAGCTTCTCATAGGCCTGTGAGAATCAGTGTTTGTAATTTGTCCCTTCTGCTGCCAGGAATGGGTGAATAGGTTGTGCAACTTCTTTTCCACATTCAGATTCCAATCAGATTGGTATTGTTTCAGTACCATTTTGAGGATAGTATAGATCTGAGATATTTTATCTACAAAATAACTAATGAGGAAAGCCCAGCTAATGACCATTGGGACCAGCTTTCTAAGTCCATTTGTGACCAGCAAACCAAACCATTGTTTATGTGGATGCATATGAAAGTTTCTCTGACTATTCATCTGCAAATCTGTGAGGAAGAATAAAAGACAGTAACGAGTTGCAGAAATATTCAAGATAACATAGTAGTGCCTGCTATTGAGGCAACGGCAACAGAGAAACTGTTCCCAATTGCCATAGTAATAATTCACCAAGAATATGACTTCAACAAACACATAAGCTTATAGTGCTGCTTCATGGCCAGTGAACATGGGATTTTCTGAATTAATTAAATTGCAGAAAAAAAGCATAGTCTCAGGGAAAATTCTGCCTCTTGTTGCTGAAAATATAACATTTGGCAGGGTAGGAGAAGCACTATAATGTATCTAGATTGTAAGCATTATTCATTGGGAATACTAAATGGAAACTGAAGCTGATATTCATTCCAGGGTTGTCCCATCTACGAGCACCATTTCATATCAATGGGAAAAACAGTACTATAGTGGCAAATTGTACTATTTTTCTCTGATCTGGATTAATACAGAGTCTTAGAAAATTTTAACTGTTAAATGGCTTTTTAGATAAGAAATATTAAATGCAAAGAACAAACAATTAAGCATGCAATAATTATTTTTTCTCACAAAAAGATTTTGAATTTCTAATTCTGATGTTTCTTTGATTCAAAAACTCCCAAATGTTCCTCGGGTACCAGGTAAATATTTAAAAGAAGTAATACAGTGTTTACCTGATGTGGCTGATCTCTGATACTGTTGCTTAATTAAAGAGTAGGGTTTACTGAGGCACAGCCCAAGGCACAAAGCTTTGTTTGATTTAGAATCTGGATATCAGACAGACATCCAGGTGTGGAAAAATGTTCTTAAACTAAGCCATATTTCATTAGTTGACAGGCATCAACCTTACCTGTGGTAAGGTATATCAGAGAGAGACCCTAGAGTCTAAAAACTCATTTTGTTTTAGTGACAGAACTAGAAAGAATTTTCCTAAGGGTTTTCTGCTGGATTTGTGCATGAGTCCTATTTACATCTTATAGTTTCTGAATAGGTTCTGAAGAAAGTGTAAGCTGTGTGTTTCATAAGAGTAAAGCTTCATATAGTATCTACCACTGAAGTGCTATGTAGTGGAAGTATTTTGATACTGTCCAAAGGATATCCATGCTAGCCAAACCCTTGAGAATTTAAACTGAGGAACACTGTAGTTAAAACGAAACAACCAACCAAACAAAAGAACATGCTACAATACTACAACACTACAGCCTGAGCTAAAGAATTCAGATTTGCTAAGCAGCACTGTAGAAAACTAGGCACTAGGCACAACTGCAAGATGACATTCTACTATGTACTTCCTAATGTGATACACAACATATTATTGATCCAAGTCTAAACCAAAACAAATTAATAACTTTTAGATTGATATATTTTTGCTGCAAAGTCTTTCATGACCTTTGGCTCTTATGTAAGAATAGTTACATTTTCCAATTAAATATGAAATATAAATACTAATAATATTACTTGGATTTTCCAGTGTAAGCTGACATCATTACTGTAAGTGAATTTTATTTACAGCCTACTAGAGATTAGATCTTTCTCATACTTGACTCTGAAGATTCTGTAAGCTAAGTAGGGCCAGATTAGGTCAGATTCCGAAGCAATTAAGAGGTGCTATGAAAATTTAGTTATTCTGGTTGAATGTCTCAATGCTAAAGATTTGGTCTCACTTTTATCCAAGTATTTCAATTAAGCTGAACAGTGAGTATGTATAGAGACTCAAAAGGATTTTTCCTAACATTTGAAAGTTGAGTAGAAAAAGCAGTTTAAATGTAAGCATGATATTTCTCCACTAATATTAAAAGGTTCTGCTAACATAACTTCG